GGATTTAACTAATAATTTTAGGGAAATAAGCCATGTTTTGACAGAAAAGGCAAATAGTAGGTATTTGCTGAGTCATTCAGACCTGTTGAGACACAGTTCTGAGGAGACTGAATCAGAAGGTGGGGTTGCAAAGTGGAGTTGAATCCTGAGGAGGTCCTGTGCTTCCTCACCAATATATATTTGTGTATATGTGTGTGTGTGTGTGTGTGTGTGTAAGGAAAGGGGGCTTGAAATAGTATGGAACCAGAGGAGCCATCTCTCAAAGGACTTACTTTAGTGATTCTCTTTGAGTCATGTTTCTTTTTTTTTTAAGTCCAAGAAATCATATTTTTGTAATTAATTTTGGAATTTAAGTTACTTTTCTTTCTGCCTGGATGAGTCGTACTCATCCTTCTAGGCTTAGCTGAGGCTCCAGCCCTACCTAGGCAAGAGGGGATGAATACCACTGACACCCAAATCCTCTCTCATGAAACTTATATTATAGTTATTTATATCCAGATATTATCTTGTGTCCTGTGTCCACGCTCCTTTAAGGCGGTGGCTGTGTCTTTCTCGTCTTAGGGGAAGCGATGGGACACAGGAAGCAAGGGCAAGGGCTTCCAGTGTAGACAGACATAGGTTTGAAGGCTGCTCTGACAGTTTCAAGCTGTCTCCTTGGACTGCTAACTTCTCTGAGGCTCATAGCTCACAGGTAGTTATGAGGAATAAATGAAGTGATCCAACGTATTTGTATTACTGGATGGTCAATAAATCAGTATTATCTCTTCCTAGCCCTGACAGCACCTCTGCTTGGGCTAGCACATAACAGATATGAAGCAAATTTATAGTGAGTGAATAAGTGGCTGAAGTAATAGAATTTCAATCTATTATATATCTTCAACAAATATAATTTATAGTTACTGTGTTATAACTTGCTTGTCATCATGCCTGTGGAATCCCAAAACTGTATGTAATATTTTAAAAACATTTTTTTGCTATTTCTGAGCTCAAGACTCATCCTTTCTTTTATTTGGTTTCAAATATCCTATGATTTGCTTTGACCTTTATTGCATTTATGCCAAGAGTTAAACAGATGATTTCTGAATGTTACCCCAAATCACCCATAGTTTCTTCCCTAACTGTCTTCTGTACTGGTCCCCGGCTCCATGAGGCTCTAGTCTGTTGCATGATTACCTTGGCATTCTTCCAAGTGGAGCCTTCTAATTTTAGAGTCAAAACACTGGAAGAACAAACCACAGATTTGCATTGAAATATGCACAGTATGGGTACAGAGCCATTTCTAAGAGTTATAATAAGAAAGGCCGTTAACCTAAAAATGTTGTTTGAAAACTTAGCATATTTCCTTTTCTTTTTTTTTTTGTCTAGTCCAAGAAACTACCTTATTTTTCCCACATCACGCTGGGATTTGAAAAACTAAAAATATTTTATCAAAACATTTATTTGCCAAGTATAGTCTACATCTCTCATGCATTTATAGGTCATAAGAGATTTTCAATATTTATTTTCAACGCAAAACAGGCTTTTATTTCTATATAATATAATACAAAGCATTTTTGCACTTTATAATTCAATTAGTCTCTTAAGGATACTTAATGAAAAACTTTTTTTCCAAAAGGAGGTCAGAAGCTTCACTATTACTAAAGGCCAAACTTTTCAAGGCCAGAATTATGCCTGTCTTATAATAGGTGGTCACTTCAGAGTCACACAGAACTGATTTCAAACACAAATCCTAAACCTTGGTGGTCGTCTACCCTTGATCAAGTAGAAAGCTATGTATTTTCGGAATCTGATAGCTGCAACAAAGTAAAATAGAAAAAATAAAGAGAGGGATTATTTGGTGAATTTGTCTAATGTAGATGCTCTAAATAGATTTTTAAAGAGAAAAAATTTTTTTTTGAAAAGTAAGATTTAGAATCTGAATAGTAGCTTACTGCTAATTTATTTGTAACATCCGTTTGTCAAGGGCCCTGGCTTGCTGGGACCACCTTGGTTTTCAAGATAAAGGTGAAATTGGTCTGAACCCCATCAAGAGTTCTAGGAATCTCTGGAGGGAGAAAAGGGGGAGGGAGTAGGAGGTGGAGGCTTGTGTATCTGGTAGCTTTCTCTTGACCGGTTCTTGTGTTTGCTGATTTCTCCATTTCCACTCTCTTTTCCCTTCTGCATGTTCTGCCTCTTTCCTGTATTGCGTTGCCTTGCTGGACATCACCCAGATCTTTATTTCTCCAAGTGTTAACTTAAGGTTATTGTTAGTTAACTTTATTAAAATATTAAAAATATGGGACAAGGAAAGGGAAAATTATATTGTAGCCAGAAACAACTTAAAATTGAATATTTGACATAAAGTTGAATTTTCTCCTGTTCTTAAAAGTCCAATCTGCCATTTTGTCCCTGGAGAATTTTCCTTAGCCTTCTGCTAGGTTGTCCGTCACCTGCCATGTAGCTGGGTCTCCCCCCTTCTCTCACATTTCCAGCCTTGTTTTACTTACCTCCAAGACGCCAGTGCCCCGGTTCCCTTTCACTTGCTCTGAAGAGCTGTTGACTCTCCATTTGTCCCACTACAAATATTCAGGGCTTCCACCACAGGACTTCATCTTCTAATATATGCTGTTAGACAGTGGTTTTCTTTTCTCTCTCTTTTTTTTTTAACTCAAGTACGGTCTAGAAGAATTTCAGATACCCTCACACATTTTTAAGTCGATGTGTAAAATTTGTTTTCCTGTGTTTCAGTAATTATGAAGGATGTCATTTCTGGTATATTGTCTGCATGCTTTTAGTCTATTTAAAATATTTAAGTATTTATTATATTTAAACTATATTTATTTATTTAAATATTTTAAATAATATCATTTAAATATTTCACTCAGTTATGGAAAATGACTGCCATGTAGCCTAATTCCCAAAGCCAGTTCTTATCAAACTAATCAACCAATCCAACCTATTTTCTAACAGAAAAGATCAATTCACATAAACATGTTAATATGTGTTGCTGTGACACTTATCTCACTTTTGAATTCTAAGATAAGTAGACAAACATGGAAACAGATATATGATTTATTTTTTTTTTAAGATTTTATTTATTTATTTTTTCCCCCAAAGCCCCAGTAGATAGTTGTATGTCATAGCTGCACATCCTTCTAGTCGCTGAATGCGGGACGCGGCCTCAGCATGGCCAGAGAAGCGGTGCATCGGTGCGCGCCCGGGATCCGAACCCGGGCCGCCAGCAGCGGAGCGCGCGCACTCAACTGCTAAGTACGGGGCCGGTCCAGATATATGATTTATGGACAAAGGTCTTAATAAGGAATAGCACTGTATATCACTCTTTCATTGTTGAGGTTTTCACTCTCCCTTGGCCCAAGACAAGAAGTCTCCAAATTCTCTAGTCTCCACATTTTCCAGATGGCATTAAAAACCATCTATGTATGGCCTTAGTGGATCTCTCACTGTTCCGTCACGTTTATCCCACTTTCCAGGCAAACTAGACCCATTACCTTTTCCTGAACATATGTGTTTCTGCAGTCTTCGTTTTGTTCTTCCTCTTTCCTTTGCCAAGAATATCCACTTGTTCATCTCCCTGTGTAGAAGTTGGACCATTTGTTTATTTCATATATATTTACCAAGGTCTACTCTATGCAAGGAACTAATTATACTTGTGGTTTTAGAGAAAGATACTGATAGAATATTTTGCTTTTCCTTTAGCTGGCCGTGAACCCTCTCTGCTTTTAACTATCTTAGAATGATTTACATCTCACAGAACAATTTCCTTGCCTGCGTGGTACACCAGTTAACTGTGTGCTTGTCTCTTACCTCCTACTAGACTAAGTGTATTGGAAACAGGAGCAATGCCTTCATTGTTGTAACCCTAGTAGAGCCTAACTCAGCTCCTGACCCTTACTTGGCACTCAAGAATCTGTCACGTTGAATGGAGTGTAGAGGCGCTCCTATGGGGCTTAGTAGAAACAGAGCTCAAAAACCGTGGTTCCCAGACCCCACTAACCAAAGACATTTGCTTCTGAGTCCTCAGGGATTGCAGATGTACTGACAGATAAGTTTTCCCAGGCAGCACCCACCGAGTCCTTTCCTGCGAAAAGGGCTTGCTTTAGAACAAGCCTCATCCAGGGTCAAGAGAGAGAGACTGGAGACCCTATGTTCCCTTCTCACCTACTCATTCCCAATACAGTTGGCAAGCACATGTGAAAGTTGACTTAATTAAACTGACGATGTTGTTGACTTTTATTAAGCAAATATTGTCAAAACCAAATTGAAAGCTAAGTTGTTTTAAGTAATTCAGAATGCAAACATTTTACTTGAAATCCCATTAACTAAACTGTCTAATTTGACTGAAGGCCCTGACCGTGCTTTACATCAGAAAGATCGACCCCAATCCTTTTTCAGATGCCTTCAATCTAAATATCAGCTAAGGTATGTGCGTTACAATAGGAATGTTTGATACACCTCTGTTCAGAGAGCTCATCATTCCACATGAAATACATATGCCCCATCACCTTTTGCCTAACATTCTTTTTGGGCCTTCTGAAATGTATGATAGCAAAAACAGAAAGGAATCAGCAGGAAAGAGACAGAAGAAGTAACCCAGGTGGCTTCTCAGATCTTTTACTTTGTGCTTTTAATGTCAATCTTTTATTGCTGTTTCCTTGAGTGGAATAAGAATTTGGACACGAAAGAATGAAATGAGTAAAAATTGAACACCTTTCTGACAGAGACTTAGTTATTTGATAGCCATAGAACTGTGAGGTTGGATACCAATCCAGCATGTTACAGTAATCAACATTGGTTTAGTTTTTTATGCCCAACATTTTATCTTGGTTAAAAAAAAAAAGATAAAAAGAGACAATAAATAACTAAACTTTGGTATGCAAAAAGTAATAGTAGTATTAACACTTGCCGTCAGAGGCAGTATTTAACCTGTGTTGATGAGCTTACATAAAACCACTTTCTGGCCTCTTTAAGTTCATCTTTTTTTTTTTTAATTTTCTTTGCAGGTAAAGATAAGATTAAAGTGTCTGAAGAGAACTTGAAGAAACTCCTTCTGATTAAATGGTGTGTTTTGGAATCTGTTCGTTTAAGAGCCCCTGGTGTCATTGCCAGAAAACTGATAAAGCCAGTTAAAATTCTGGTGAGCTTTGGTTTGGTTTTAAAATAATCAACCTTCTAGGAAATAAAAAAAAGTACATATTTTGCCCATATATTATTAAATAATTCTTTTAAGTTCCATTAAGCACTAAGTGACCCTGGAACAGGTTACTAATAAGAGCTGAGCAGCAACGTTTTATTAATATAGATATATATCTGTTGGTGACTATTTTAGCTAAAACATAACCCTTTAATAATTATTTTGGCTATGTGATTCTGCATCAGAACTAGTGTAATCCTATTTCAATCAAGCAAGTGGATTGGATAGTCTCTTCTCTGCTGAACCAACTAACAAGTATCCCTGAGCAGCAGTAGGTTGAGGAATTCAGGGTGTGAGGAAAGTTCTTTAGGATAACTGGAAGGCAGTTTCGGGCCACAGATCACAGCTATGGGAACAGATAGCAGGAATGCCATGGATAATGGCAACTGTTATTAGCAATCAGTGACTGAGTGATGGAGAGAGGTCCTTTTTATGGGCAAAGTAGAATAAAATTCTGAAGTGCACCATGATAGGTACATGCACAAGGCAGACTTTCAGTTCAATATTTGGTGTATCAATCAGACAGAACAAAGTATTTCTTTCAGAATGATTTGACTCATGGCCTGCATTATCCAGGTAGATTGCATTTAGTCAGCCCTCCACTCTTGCAAGATTTATTTTTTTGTGAGGAAGATTAGCCCTGGGCTAACATCTTTTGCCAACCCTGCTCTTTTTTGCTGAGGAAGACTGGCCCTGGGCCAACATCCATGCCCATCTTCTTCTACTTTATATGGGACGCTGCCACAGCATGGCTTGACAAGCAGTGCTCAGGTCCGCACCTGGGATCCAAACCCACAAACCCCGGGCCTCCGAAGCGGAGCATGCAAAGTTAACCCCTACGCCACCGGGCTGGCCCTCTTGCTAGCTTTTTTTAATACACAGATTGAGAGTGCTTGGATTTAAACCAAGAAAATTTTATAGTAGTAGAACACAAAAGAGACAAAAAATTCAAATTTTATGAAAGTTGCAACTTGCTAAATCCGGAGGAAACATAGTTTATTTAACTGATCTCACATAAATTTTAGCATTTTGTTTCAGTGGGATTTTAACAATTTTTGCTTTTAAATAATCAAATTATTAATTACTTTAAACTATGAGTAATAAATAAACACGCTTTGAGAGGAAATAGTCAAATAACTTCGTGCAATTAAGTAGAACAATGTGTTTATTACTCTGAATATTACTATAATTTTATTGAACTTTTATTAAGTCTCATTTATATTCTGGCTGGTAGATAATTAGCTGAATTACAGAATAGTTATTTGTCTGCCAGTGGGTATCTTGATTGTTACTTTAAGCAGACAGATCCTACACATGTTTTGTATGATTTATACCTAAATATTTCAGTTATTTTGGGGCTTTCGTAAATGGTATTTTTTAAAATTTGGATTCTCAATTGTACATTACTTGTTTGTAGAAATACCGTTGCTTTCTGTGTTTTGATCTTGTATCTGCACCTTTGCTAAACCTTAAACTTAGTGGTCCTAAAAGTGTTTTTGTAGATTCCTTGGGATTTTCTATGGAGATAATATTTTAATTTCTTCCTTTCTTATCTCCATGCTTTTTATTTCTTTTTCTTGCCTATTGCACTGGCTCTGACTTCCAGCACTATGTTCAATAATAGTGGTGACAGCAGATATCCTTGCCTTGTTCCTGATCTTAAGGGGAAAGCATTTAGTCTTTCACCATTAAGTATGATGTTAGCTGTAGGTTTTTGGTAGATGCTCCTTATCAGGTTGAGGAAATTTCCATCTATTTCTAACTTGCTGATAATTTTAATAACACATGGATATTGAATTTTGTCCAATGCTTTTTCTGCATCAATTGATATGTTTTTTCTCCTTTAACCTGTTGATGTGATGGATTTCATATACTAATTTTTAAATATTGTACCAGCCTTTCATACCTGGAATAAATCTCATTTGATCATGGTATATAATTCTTTTCATATGTTCTTAGATTTATTTTGCTAATATTTTGTTGAGGACTTTTGCATCTAAGTTCATGAGAGATATTGGCCTGAGTTTTCTTTTCTTTTCTTTTTGTACTGTTTTTGTCTGGTTTCTATATCATGACAATCTCTTAAAAGGTGTTTTATGTTTGTCCTATCCTCTTCTCATAAACACTCAGATTCCCTTTTTTCCTTCTTTCCTCCACCCTCCCTTCTTCCCTTCTTTCTCTCTCTCTCTTCTTCCTTCCTTCCTCCATTTCTTCCTCCCTCACTCTTTCCTCTCCTTCCTTCCTTTCTTCCTTCCTTCCTTTCTTTCACATTTATTTCCTTGTGAAAGGCAGTAAAGAAACAGTCTGCAGATCGTTTCCCTCTTCTTCTTCCTTAATTCTTTTCTTTTTCTCTAATTTCCTCTTTATGATCTCATTCTTCAGGTTTTTTACCCTGAAATCTCTCTCCATTAAAGTTCCTATTTCATGTCTACAAACTATCCCCATGAGCAAAACAGAGAGAAAAAAACCATCAGGATCCTCATATCTAAATTCTTGTGGATATTTTTTTCTGTTGCTTTTGCATTTTTTCTCTTTGAGTTTCAGTGTGGCTTATGGAGCTTCAACACAGTCTATCTTGGGCTTCTGACCAGTCATTCTGCCTGCCACATATATGGCAGCTTTGCACCCCTCTTCTCAAATGCAAAACCCAACTTGTGCTATTGCATTAGGTAAATATATGAGACCATGACAGGATAATTTTATAACAAAAAAATTTTAATTTGTTACATAAGTAGATTTTCTTCCCAGACCCCAATAAAAACCTTTAGGCACATGCCACTTGCCAACCAACAATGCACTTTTGAGATTGTGTTCTTTTTGGCTTCTGCTATCCTGACCTTCAATTCAGTCATGAGTCTCTTAATGATGAGGATACATTCTGAGATATGTGTCGTTAGGCAATTTCATCATTGTGCAAACATCATAGAGTGTACTTACACAAATCTAGATAGTATAGCCTACTGCACCCTAGGCTATATGGTACTAATCTTATGGGACCATCTACATATACATGGTCTGTTGTTGACTGAAATGTCATTATGCAGCACATGACTATTCTTATGCTGTTCATTTATCTTTTTTTGCTTGATTAGACCTACACACCAATACTTCTTCCTTCAAATGGATACTACCTTTTCTGTACTGTTCTCTTGTCACACTGTAATCATCCCCTTACTTTTCCTTTGTCTTTTACCGTACTACCACCTAAAGTCTGTCTTCTGTGCCCCTTCTTTTTTCCCTTCTAGCAGTAGTTTTGTACTAGGTAGATGTTAGTTTCCTGGTTATTTCATTTTACTTCTCATTTTAGGACCCTTGAAGATGACTCAGTCAATTTCTTCCTTCCTTGTTTTTATTTTAGCATAAGGTGTTGGCACAAATGGATTTGTTTTGCACCATAAAATTTCTATGCAACTCACTTGTTTGCTGGTCAAGCTGCAACATTGCTTGATACAGTCACTCTATATTTCCCCACCCCATGCACCACCTGAAACTCTTCTCTATCCTTAAGCATGTAGCTCTTGGAGGAGCTTTTAACTTCATGTCCTTGTCAGGATTGTGTTCTACCGCAGGCGTTGTAACTTTCCTTGGGGCTATTAACACCTCATATTTTTTCAAAACGAATTTTTACTTATTTCAACAGCGTTACCAAAAGAAACATCCATGCTCAAACACATGCACACACATATACGTTCGTGCATACACGACCCCCCACGACCCCTTAACCTTATACAACTATCTAACGTGCTCTTTGTGTGACATCAATACAGAAACCCATGTTTCATCATAATATACATGTCATTTAAAAAAATTTTTTTAACATTATTCTTCACATTTCTTGCATCTAGAGAGTTTTCATATTTATTTCAGTGGCCACATAATACTACATTGAGTTGATAGCTTGAATATTTATTTCTGACTCTCAGATTTAGATTGTTTTCCTTTGTGGTATTTTATTGTAGTAATTATTTGCATCTTTGTGCATAGTACATTTTCTTTTTTAATGATTACCTTTGAATTATGTTTTAATGGTGGATTACTGGTCCAAGGGTATAAACACATTTATGATTCACTGCATATAATCCTCTTACAAAACTGAACTATTTTATAGATCCAATATCTATAAATTCCTAATAAAATTTTTTAAATTAAAAGTAATATATATCGAAAATAATTTAATAAATTATAAAAAGAAACTAATAGTCTGTTACTTCCACTCACACTTTCTTCCTAGAGGACATGAGGCTCAGATACATCCAGGCTCCTTCCAAGCCCTAGCTGCTGGTTGTGGCCATCCTAGTGGTAGAAAGATTTGGTCAGGCTGCCATCTTCTGAGAATGTTCCAGCATTTTCTTTCATTATTTTTTTTAATATTTGTATAAGGTGCAATGTTTCCTGTACTTACTATTTCTTTCATAAATAAACACAGCCTTTCATCTTAGGAGGGCCAAACTAATCACTGTGAAGTTCTCCCTGCAGAGTTGAGAATTGAACTTTAAAAATAATAACTTGCACAGTTATTATTATAACTGTTATTACTATATTATATTATTACTATATTATTATAACTATAGTTATTATTATAACTTGCTTTCATTATTATTACATAAGTAAAACATGGTAATTAGAGAAAAAAAGAGAGACCATAAAAAGAAACTGAAAGAAACAATTAAAAATTGCTTAAAATCTTGCAAGTTAGAGATAGCCACTATGAGCATTTTGGTATTATTATAATTTCAGACTTTTTTCCTGTAGTGTGTGCATTTAAAAAAAACTTAAGTTGGGGTCACACTATACTAATTTTCTCATAGCCTATTTTTATTTTATTTAATAACATCATGAATAGTTTTCTATATCAATAAAAGACATCTACATCATTGTGAATCACAGCATAATAATCTAATATATGGACATAGTATAAATTTTTGAATCAGTTCTCTATTCTTGGACATGTATGTGGCTTCCAGTTTTTCACTATTACAAACAGTGTGAAGATTAACATCCTTATAGCTAAATCTTTATGTACATTACTAATTATTTCCTTAGTATAAATTCATACAACTTGGTCCTTTTAAACTACGTGTATTTTCTAAAACAGGTGAACTGTCTTTGCTGAATGTAACAACGTGTTTCTAGGAATTTGGATTATAAAAAACATCTCATATGCGATCATCTATGTCGAGTAATGACCATTTTCTCTCCTATTGGGTTGCCGGTCAAGGTTCCTTGCTATGAATGCTAGAAGTATTTCCCATTGCTTTTCCCTAATGTCGTCTAAACAGGGTATCGTTGATTATTCTTGCTTCTGTAACCATTCCATTCTGTATTTTTTAGAACATATTAAAATGAACAAACACTATCTACTTTCTTGGATTTACTCCATTCCTTCTTTCTCTTTATTATGCCACCTTTCCAAACTCTTAAACTTTTATCTGTACTATCTTTTCAAGGTTTCATATTTTTAGCACAAAGTTAATCTGCAAGAATACCAAGGAAAGAATAAACAAGAAAGTGCTGGAAAATATGAATAATTAAGGAATATTAATTACCTTCTTAAGCTATTAAAACATGTTATAAAACTATAGCAATTAAAATAGCATGATACTGATGTCAGGCCAGATGGTCAAATCAATAGAACAGACTGGACAGATAACAAAGAAACAAACCCTCTTGTACATAAGAATTTAATATAGGAGGGGCCGGTCCCATGGCATAGTGGTTAAGTACATGCACTCTGCTGCTGGCAGCCTGAGTTCAGATCCCAGGCACGCACTGATGCACCACTTGTCAGGCCATGCTGTGCCGGCGTCCCATATAAAGTAGAGGAAGATAGGCACGGATGTTAGCCCAGGGCCAGTCTTCCTCAGCAAGAAAAGAGGAGGATTGGCATGGGATGTTAGCTCAGGGCTGATTTTCCTCACCAAAAAAAAAAAAAAAAAAAAAGAATTTAATATAGCATTAGTGAATCATTATAAGTCGATGAAGAGAGAAGAGATTAATATATGGTTTTGGATGTCTGGCTAAAAGTATGTATTTTTTTTAATTTCTAGAGTAGCAGTTCTCAAACTTTTTGGTGTCAGGATCCCTTTATACTCTTCAGAATTATTGAGAACCCCAAAGAACTTTTGTCTAAGTGAGTTATATCTATCAATATTTACAGTTATTGGAAACTAAAGCTGAGAAATTATTAAAATATTTAGTAATTCATTTAAAAAATAATGAGAAACATATTACATGTTAAAATAATAGCATGGTTTTATGAAACACAACTGAACTTCCCAACACGTAAAAAAATGTAGAAGAATAGCATCATTTTAAATTTTTGCAAATCTATCTAATGCCTTGCTAATTGAAGACATCTGGATTCCCATTTATGTGTCTGCGGTCAATCTGTTGTGATATGATGTTTACCATTGATGGAAATGAAGAAAATCCAGCCTCACATAGACATGTAACTGGAAAAGGAAAGAGTATTTCATTAGCCTTCCAGATATTTGTGGCTATTCTTTAATACTACACTAACACTCAGCAGTGGTAGTTTCTTAAAAGTTTATTGAAATCTCAAAATATATCAATGAATTTTTTGTACTCAGTGACATTAAAATCCGCTGGTCTATCCTATACTTTGAATAAGTCTCTTACCCGGGAGTGATTTTTGACCTGACAGATCCTCTGCAAAGGTCTTGGGGACTCACAGAAGTCTCTAAACCACCTTTGAGAGCCACTATTGTAGGTAGAGAGAAGAGAGCTGCCTAAGCTTAGGTTAATCAAGGAAAGCACAAAGCACGTGAACAGATATAAATGCACCATATCAAAATGTATCTTATTTTTTAAGCATAACCTAAACTAAATGTAAAGCAAATATTAAGAATAAATGTCGGGGGCCGGCCCCGTGGCTTAGCAGTTAAATGTGCGCGCTCCGCTACTGGCGGCCCGGGGTTAGGATCCCGGGCGCACACCGACGCACCGCTTGTCCAGCCATGCTGAGGCGGCATCTCACATACAGCAACTAGAAGGATGTGCAACTATGACATACAACTATCTACTGGGGCTTTGGGGAAAAAAAGGGGAAGAAAAAAGACAAAAGGAGGAGGATTGGCAATAGATGTTAGCTCAGGTCCTGTCTTCCTCAGCAAAAAAAGAGGAGGATTGGCATGGATGTTAGCTCAGGGCTGATCCTTCTCAAAAACAAAAAAAGCATAAATGTCAATAGAAGTACAACACAAGGGTAAATAATTTTAATATTTAAAGAATTCACAGATCAGTAAATCAGTAAACCAGTGTTGACAACTAATGACTCTCTTTTGTTGTCAACACTCTGGTTGTTTCCTTTTCTAGTTTTTTCTATTTTTCTGAATATTCCAAAATTTTTATAGGGAGCATTTTTTATCACACAAAAGAGTATACTCTTTAATTTTTCAAGTACTATTTTTAGCCACTGACACCAGCCAAGCTCCTGGCCAAGAGCTAGGAGAGAAAGTCTGTGGACGTCCTCTTATAGATGCTTTGCCTTTATGCGAGACCTCTTTCTCTTCAAGATCCTACATCCCTTGCACCCGTTTGCTCTCAGCATCCTTCTTGAGTTACAACAGAGAGCCCTGCCTTCTCTTCCCTCTTTAAGAAAGTCCCGTCTCCAGACTAGCGGAGGAAGCTCATTTGGCCTCACAGTAGCCCTGTTCAATTCTGTCTGCCTGAGAGATGCAGTTACTGCACATGGAGAAGTTATGACTTCCCTTTGCTAGTGGTCTGTATTCCGCTCCTATGGCTGTTTTGTCTCCCTCTTGATCTTTCTCTTTGTCTTGTAAACAATGACAGGGACTGTTTAGACTGGCATGATGATGTCCATTTGTTCAGAGAGTTCCTTTGATCCAACCAGCTTTCACATTCCTTTATGCCGTTCATCAGCCTGGCATTTGCTGCTACAATGGGAACTTCTTTCTGGTCACTCTCTGTTGCTAATATTAATGCTGTTACTGAGGCCCCGTTTGAAGTCTTCCTCTACTGGCCTGCTTTGTAGGCTGCAGCAGTCAGCAGTCTCCAAGTCATTATCCTAGAGCAACAGCCACTGAAGAGGACTATGGGGTGGGGAGGGGAAGGGCAGCAGGTGCCCTGACTGGAGGCCTGTCCCAGGGCTGCCCCCAGCCCTGCCCCCAAACATATCAGGACCCTCCTCAGCTGATTTCAGAGCTCCAGCCTCAGTTCCAGCAGAGGTAGAATGAACACATTGGGATCTCACAAGTCTCTTTCCACTTTAAAAATGGTAAGAGGCCACCAGCAAAAGCCTCGCTCTCTTCCCAGTTCTGGATCGGACTTCTCCAGCAATCCTGGTACTGAATTTACCAAATTCAAGCAATACACAGCTCCCATTAGAGCCAAGAGGGCTTCTTCTTGGTTAAAAATGATGACCCCTCCCCATACCCCACTTCCTGCTACCGTAAAAAGACGTTTTTAGTTGTGAAGTGCTAATGTTCTAGATACATGAACTGAAAGCAAGTGTTTTGCAGATATCTTGAGGACACTTCACAATTCTGCAGGATTAAATAGATGTGGCTTCCGATCATTGGCAGTGGGAGTTACTAATAATATGTCTTCACCTCAGTAAAGTTGTTAGCTAGCTAGTGATCACACACTGTGGGAGAGCTCTTTTGTCCTGTGGTTCCTGAACATGGTGATGTAAAGGTGATTTTATGAAATGGTTTTTAGTTCTTGGTATAGTTTATATATCACGAAAATCTAATATAATGTGAACAGGGAAGGGTAATGCAGACTCTGCTGCTTGAAGAATCACACTGCTTATCCTCAGTCCCACAACCATCATAACCTCAACCACAAATCCAACCAAATAAATGCACAACACACCCTTTTTCCTATGTCTTCCTAACCAGTTGTTTTCATATTATTTCTACCCTAACAGCTGCTGCTGGAGTGAAAAAAAAAAGAATCCGCTGCCCTGCCCTGACACTATCATGAGTGTCCCCAAGGACAGGACACCCACTGCCCCTGTCCTCAGTGCTACTATGGCCAGTGTCCTGTCTCAGAGTTAGAGTTTTCTGTTCCACAAGCTGGGGATCCACTGTGGTTTCCATCATCAAGAGCACTTGCTGCAAATCCCAATATCGAACATCAAAAACTGCATTACAGTGGATTTATACTAATTTCAGAAATTATCACATTTATCTAATATTTTCTTCCCATGTAACCAAACGTGTATGTACACGTAACTAGTTATCAGAATTAGAAATGAGTCATTGCCTAAGTTGGAAAATAGAAACAATCTGTCCAGAAAAGAGTTAGGTTTTCTCGCCATTGATTAAAACATGTATATGTCTTCACAATATAGTTGTAGCATTGTTTTTAATGACCTAAACTCTCTTTAAAGCAGATTTCAAAAAATGACTTGGAACCTGTTTTTCTATCATAGAATTATACTGTTCCTTCTGGTGACTTGTTGATGTTGTCTCCATTTTGGCTACATAGAAATCCAAAGCATTTTCCTGAACCTGAATTGTTCAAACCTGTAAGTTATCTCTTTCAATATACATTGTCCTTTAATTTTAATTTCTTTTTATGCCAGGAGTATGAATTCATTTTTTTGATTTAGTAATTCATTTAAAAAATAATGAGAAACCCATTGCATGTTAAAATAATAGCATGGTTTTATGAAACATAACTGTATTTCCCAACACAGGAAAAATATAGAATAGCATCATTTTAAATTTTTGCAAATCTATCTAATGCCTTGCTAATTGAAGACATCTGGATTCCCGTATATGTGTCTACAGTCAATCTGTTGTGATATAATGTTTCTCATTGATGGAAATGAAGAAAATCCAGCCTCACACAGACATGTAACTGGAAAAGGAAGGAGTATTTCATTATTAAGCAGCCATACTTCTCTCGTAACTAAGGCTACAAAGTACAGATTAGATTTGCAGTACAGATGGTATAACACTTACAATCAGATAGAAAAGTTTTTGGAATAAGCTTCACCAACTGTAAAATAAATTTTTATCTGAAACCAGCAGGGCGTGTTAAAGTAAATATGCCTAGTCCTGATAGACTTATTTCAAGTTCTTCACTCAGTTGCTCCTGTTAATTGGTTTCCAAGGACTACAAAAATCAAAAATGAAGCAAATTAAAACTGTGTTCTGATATTTCTTAGAATTGGCGAGTTACAAGACTGAACAGAATCTTAAGAGGTCATTTAGTTCATTCTCTGCCTTTAGGTAACACTGTCAAAAATGGCATCCAGATATATTCATTCTGCATCCCAAGCTTTCTCCAACAAGCAAAGCTGTCAGTGTCTTACTACAAAATTTATTACCAAGGGCAATTTTATAATGGAGCCTGAGGCCTTATTATAAATATTCTTCCTTGTCTTGGGTCAATTCTGTGGTTGATTTACATTATCATTTACATTTACCACTTAACAGAATTCTTTTTAAACCTTTTTATTTATTAGTTCACGTTCCAAAAACACAATTGTGTCTGATATTAATAACAGGTTGGAAAAAATTACCAACAACCCTGCAACTTTATATGCAAGGATTAGCTGTACAAGGTCATTTTTAGCCCAGAGAAATAAAGTTAAGCTTATTTATATAAGGCTGATTTGGAACAAAAATGCTTTCTTCCCACAGGAACGTTGGAAAAAGGCAGATTTAGAGAAGCATGCTTTCTTGGACTACTTCATGGCATTTGGAAGAGGGAAGAACCAGTGTCCTGGAAGGTCAGTGAGACAGCTGGGCCACATTTATCCAGAAAGTCTGCAGAAAGATGATGGCTCAGAGGGGGAAAGCTTTGGCTTAGTCTCTCTTTTGTTTATTACCAAACTGTAGAGAAATCCAGGAGACCATATTTTATTTGGTTGGCCGTTTTTATTGTGTGATGTCTTTGTGGGAAGGTCTAAAGTGGCTTCTGATAGGAGACCTCTTAAGAAAAAAATATTACAGTTGCAGCTGCCAGATGACAGCAGGGTTTATGTTTAAAATGCTCAGCTTTCATATAAGAATAATTTGAAGTGTTTTGAGTTCCACCTTTCTTAAAGATAGAAGCATGATGCTTGTTTAACTACCACGTTATTGTGGACATTTGCTGGGGTTACAGAACGTCTTTAGCTTGGAGCATAACAGGAGCTTACTTGGTGGTTTTTGTTTATTGGGTTAGTTTGGTTCTATAAAAACTTTCCTTTGGTACCTTTTATAGTTAAATTAATCTGGCACCTGGGACTCCTCTTTGGCGTGGTGCCCTGTTCTAGGGCAAGTGTATGTCATTTAAAGAAAGATATTTAATGTTTATTTATTCAAGCAGAAAATTTTCTGAACGTTATCATCTGTGCCTCTGCTAAGCATCAGAGATAGAGCACTGAGGACAATGGACGTAGCCCCCTTACTTCATAAAACTCACCATCTACATTAAATAAGTCCCATTTCTTCACTGGTGATGATTCTGTTGGAGAAATGTTGTTACCTGTTTGTAACAAACTCTCACTCAGTGACTGCACATGTCATTTAAAAATCTTATATCAGAAAAATTGTAGTGTTTTTTTTTATTGTGAAATTTTTATTGTACATTATTGTTTATCAGTCACCA